ATGCTGTGTCACTATACTGTGCATACGATGGAACACTGAAGACTGCTGGGATCATAACAGCAGTAAGATAACTGGACCCAGCACCCTTTCCACAGAGGGGTTTTTCTGCAGAGGATGGACAGTAGAAGAGCCATAAGTATATCCACGACAGAACAAAGGCAGAATCGGCAAATACAGACTATTATGTCTGTTCTCATATGCCAGTACGTCAACACACCCCACACTATATGTGTTCCTGGACCAACTCCCAGGGAAGAACTACTCCATGATATTAGCAGAGAGAGGGGACTTTGCGTCCTCTTCAACAACACCTGCTGCACTTACATACTGGACGATGTACGCTCATTAAACATGACTGACGCCCTGAATGCTTTGAGACAAATCCAGCAGGCCCAAAATCAGGACTATGTAAGTGATACAAGTGACTGGTTTTCTTGGCTATACACTGGCTCCTGGTTACAGGTGCTAAAAGGACTACTCATCGGAGTTGGGATATTTTTACTTTTATTTTGTGTTTTTGTAACGTGTATACTGCCATGTCTAAAACTCATGATTAACCGCATAATATTTTCCACTGTTGCTGCATATACAGCCGTGACAAATGAACATGAAGACTTTGTGTGATTAATGACGATGTGACAGAAAATGTACAACAAGATTTTACATACTGATATCTCACCTAAAGATATACTGACAACAGGAGGGAATGTCAATGGAAAATTGTATTTAGTAGTCAGTATAGTCTTTTAGTGATATAAGTTTGAATATGGTAGAATACTGCATGTAATCATTTGTGTTTAGAAGTATATAGTTGGTGGCATATTGAAAGAATGTCTCATCCTAGGAGGTCTGTAACATTCCAGGGTGTTCTGGCGTTCACCCCCACATCCTAGGAGCATGGGAGAGGTCGTACCTTGTCTTATTGTTTTACGGTAGGATTAACGTAGCTATATCTGTCTAAGTGCTTTTTGTTTAGATGAACTGCTGGACTTTATGGGGTCACACACACACACACACACACACACACACTGAAGTATAAATAAAACCCGGGGCAGTTTCTCAGTGCGAGTCTCAGTTCTGGAGGCTGCCCTTGCTAGCAAGAAATTCTGCGTGTTTCTCTTCTCTGATTCTCTACTGAAGAAGTGTTTTAGAATACATCTCTTAACAAAGAGGCACCTTAGTCAGTTATGATGTGAGGTAGATAATTGTTAGAAGTAGTCTGCATCAAGCTTAAGGTTGCTCAAATTCAGTATAATGAGATATGGGATGAAGAAAATAAAGAAAATATGTAAACTAATTAAGTGCATAAGAGGCACTTGACCTGCTTGAAAACCTGTCATCCTAGACGAGACATTGCAGAAATATAGAGCACACCTATACTAACAACTAATAAGCTAAACCCTGTAGACAACAGCTAAAGCTACATAATTGAGAAGCTGAATTAAATATGTGGTCACTGTAAGCTGATGAGCAAGTAATATGTTTGTTTTTTTACAGCAGGAGCTTCATGAGAATTCAAACATGCAGCTGTCTGTGAGCTCAGTTTTTTTCCCCTCACACTTCTGATTTGCCTTTGGCAGCAGCTTTTTTGCATCCTGACACATGTGTGTAAAGTGTTCATGCTATCAGCAACTTGTTTTGTTTTGTTTTGAAAAATAAATAAATTTGTGACCATACTTGTAGATCACAGTGACACATAATGATTAGGCATATGATTTACTAATGCAGATGAAGTTTATTCTAAAATTTAAGGAGAACAAAGAAGAACAGCATCTTCAGTTGTGTCTTGGCTGTTGTTCTCTGTGTAGTGTGCTGAGTTTTGTTTTTTGTTTTTTTGTTTTTTGACGTGTTGCTTGAGAGAGGAGTACTGTGATTTCTGAAGTAGCTCTCACCATGCGACCTTGATGATGATAAGTTCAGAGCCAGCTGAGAGCTGGGTTGTCTGCTTTGCTTTAGGTGATAAATCAGAAAAGTTAAAACTTAGTTTCTTGTCTTGAAGGGAAAAAAAGAAAGAAGGGGGTTTTGTGTTTCTCAGCCAAAAACAACTACAATTTCATTTTCTGTTTTTGAGAAAGGAGAATTTATAATAATAATAATAATAATAATAATAATAATAATAAAACAAAGAGTGATGTTTTGTTTAAGTGGTGAAGAAAGCTAATACTGCAAAATACCAACTAGTGCATGATCAGCGAGCAATAAATGAAATCCCTGAAATGATGCTACCAGTAGTAGCAAATCCCCACTCTCTATGCTGAAGCTTTAAAGAAATCAATGATGTCCTGCCTCCTGCCAGCAGCAGAGACAGTTTCTACTCTACGTAATGACATTTTAGTGACTGGCCACACAGAGGAAGGGTGTAAGCAAAATACCATGGCTGTGTTACGTCACTTGGCTGAGTTAAGGCCACAAGGTATCTTTAAATAAACTCTAATTATGAAGTCACATACTTAGAGCACACCCTCTCAGGTGAAGGCAGAAAGCTACTAAACAAAGGAACAGAAGCTATACAAAATGCGCCACAGCCACAAAACTAGGCATTCATAAGATTTCCAGATGGAGAAGTTGATTCGTCATTGTGGCTGAACTGTGACTCTGCAGAAAGCTGGCAACCTCTGTGCACCTGTGGCCATGGACATGATTGGGACATGTGAATTCAATGAGTTGGAGATGGGTAAATGAATACTTTTGACAATATAGAGTATGTATGTGAATAAAGAATGCATGTACATGAGACTGAGATAATTAATTTTGGCCCTTATCCGTCCCTTATTTATTCCAACATTTTTGCACCACTGAGATATAAATTTTACTGTAGGGTCTTTAACTTTCAATATCAGGGCATAAGGACCAGGTGGTTGGTACATAAGAGATAACACAATTTTTTTTCAGTTTTCTAATTAGTATGTGCAAGGCTAAAGGCCTTTAAACACCCAACAGATTGCAGAACTATATCTGAATTTGCCATGTAATGGAATGCATTGTATTTTTGCTGAAAATTCATCATCAAAAAATGCACTGTGAAAAAAAGTTTAAGTCAACTGACGATAAGCTGGTCGTGAGCTTTCTAAACAAGAAAAGGAAGAAACAGATTCTGGGTCTATCCAATCCTCTCAAGGCAGCAGCAACAGGGAAAATGTCATGGCTTGATCCACGATCTGAAGCTTTCATATATATTCAGGATGCCAATGGGGCAATTTCAGCTCTTATTGGGACCACATTGACTGAGGTAAAGTATTATTTTACTATTTCCATATCAGTACTAGCGCATGACTTGAGTTAGGAGTGCACTTGTTGCCAGATGGAGGGATCTAATTGGTCGCATCTGTTTATTTGGATCCGAAAAAAATATATCTATACATGTATATATATGTATATGTATACCACGTCAACTGGAAGAGACTTGGTGGACCATCTGCATCTACAGGTCAAAGGTCAGTCCTTCGAGGACACCAATATTCACATTTTGGACAAAGAAGACAGATGGTTTGAAAGAGGAGTGAAAGAAGCCCTTTGTGTCCACTGTCTGCCATCTATAATCCAGTTCTGAGATCCTTTCCCAGACGCCTTAATGCCCACTCACATCCCGGGACTTCTGACCTCAGGAAATCACATGATAGGGTGGGGCTAGGTTTCACAATGAGCTCACCGAAAACCTTAGCTGATTGTGAACTACACCCATTTTCACACCTTGGCTCATGTAATTAGGTAGGGGTTCATTAGGGGGTCCATTGTCCCTCTCTGGGGGGCACTCCCACATGGCTTAAATCTGGGACTCTCCAACATTTGACTCTAGAACTGAAGAAGCTTCTCAGATAAGAGGTAAAATGTCTTCAAGCAACTCAAAGAAGTCCAGACACTTTTTTTTCTTTCCAAGCTCCTTAGACTACGATGACCTGGATGACTGAGAACCTTCACAGACAAAACCAACACTAGCTCTTTAGGATGTTTTACCAGTCGGTGGTTGTCGGGGTACTGTTCTATGCTGTGGTGTGCTGGGGGTGCAGCACAGCAAAGAAGGACTCATCCAGGCTGGAAAAACTAAACAAAGGCTAGCTCTGTAGTCGGCATGAAGTTGGACACTCTGGTGACAGTAGCAGAGAAAAGGACATTAAAGAAACTGCTGGACATTATGGACAATGCTGGGCATCCTCTGCACACGGTCGTAAATAATCATAGTAGCCTATTCAGCAACAGGTTGCTTCTCCCAAAGTCAAGAAGCAACAGACTTAAAAACTCCTTTGTCTCACACGCCATCAGACTGCTTAACTCCTCACTGGAGGAGAGAGAGAGAGGAAACGGGGACAAAGGAGGGTTGGGAACAACTGACCTGTAGTGCTTTTTTCCTTGTGCTATATTTGCAATATATTTCTTACATCCGACTGTGCAATAATCATTGTGCAATAGACTCACTCAAATGTGGAATCCACTAGTATTCCTATTTATCTCTATTATATAGTCTGTATTTATATATGTGTATATATGGTATAATTATGCTTATATCCTTACTCTCATTCCCCTTTATTGTGTCTGTAACATGCAACTTCTGTCGGTGCTGTGCTACTGGAAACTCAATTTCCCGGAGGAACCCACCCGTGAGATTAATAAAGTTTCATCTAATCTAATATAATAACACTAGTCACTTTTCTCAGAACAGACTCACCAATAAACATACAGCATTAATTGATATGATTGGATGGCCGAAGTATTAATGAAGAGGGCTGTTCTATTCACAACTGTTTACAAAATTACTACAATATTTAAATACATTTGTTTTCAAGGTATTTGGAATGCAATGTTTCATACTAAAGTATTTATAATTATCATTTCCAAACTGCCCTGGTGATAATTAAAATGTTACTCTAAAACAACACACTGACACAGGTGAGCACATCTAATCTATAATCACTTTTAAAGCACATATGAATTGGCATTAGAGATGGGGTTATAGCTATAATACAGCTATTGCACACATATTTTCTCCTGAGAGATTTTTTTTTCTAGTGCCCAAAAGTTTCCGCAAAGTTGGCAAGTTGTTTTATTTGGTCACTCTGCATTGAGTGACGCCTCCACAACATTTTCTTGGCTTTCAGATCCTTGGGGAAAACAGGTACACAGGGTAGAACAGGTTTTGGGCCTATAAGAACACCGTTCAGTGTCTTGGTACTTCCACTCAAAGGGCAGGAAGAGTTAGAGCTAACCCCAATATCTGGTATGGGAATATGAGGATTCAAACGAGGCAGGTATCCGGGGCGTGTGTGGGCAATGTGATCCAGAAGAAGAGCTCCTGAGCCTCTTCGCTCCAGCCCTGTAGTGGCTCGCCTCTGGGCCGAGCTCTCCAAGGACTCCCTGGATCCCAACAGATTGGAGGCTCTGCTGGTGACCAGCTTGTGTCTTTCCGCTGCCAATCCAGCACCACCACTGCTCTTTGAGGTTCTGTCTCTGCTGCTGAATTGCTGCAACTGAGAGTCAGAACTGTAGTGGGCAATACCAATGTTCCGCCGACGCACCACATTTTGCAGACTGGAAACATTCATCTGTGTAAGACAGTCAGATGAATCTTCATCTGCAGGTCTGGATTCATGGGAAAAGGCAAGACTATCTTGAAGCAAGTTTGGGTGTGAAACAGAATATAATGAACTTGCAGCACTGTCATATGACATCTTTCTGCCAAAGCCTTTTTTCCCACCACCTCCCCTGTTGTCATTTCCTGATAAGATCTCTAATGCTTTCACAAGTCCTTTTGCATCTTTGAAATCAATGCTCTGGTGCCGTGAAATAGCAGGAGGATGTTCTTCGACTCTGAAAGACAGCACCTCCTCCGGAGTAATTTCCACTGGTTCCTCAGTCAGAGAGGACGCCTGACTCTGCTGGAGCAACAGGGAAGGACTTTTGGACCAGGCTTCTGAGTGTAGCTGATGGAAGTTAGGTCGCTTATCCACATCGGGAACACGTAGAGGACTTCGATGTTGCATTGGTGAACCTGGTTGAAATCTGATCAGGCCATGCCCTAAGCCTAAACACTGGGGATCCTTGAGGGCACGAAGGGGGCTGCCAGGTTGAGGAGAGGTTTTTGCTGAAGAGCCCTGAGGAGGCGTTCGTAGCTGGACCTCATATGGCGACATGCAGCAAGATGCTGGTAAGTAATGCAGACTCTCTTCAACTTCAGGAGATGGAGGAACATTAAGGTACTGCTTTGTCACCTGATGGCCAGATGGCAGTTTGTTGGTGGTGATGATGATAACTTCCTTACCCTTGGCTTTACAGGCATCTAAGAGTACACTAAGAATGTCCCTGTTACCAGAATTAACTGCATAAACTAACGCAGATAAACCTCCATGATCCTCCAGGGTTGGATCAGCTCCGCTGTTAAGAAGAAGTGACAGAATTTCAGCTCCCATTTGTTGAAGACATGCATGCATTAGAGCCGTTTTCCCAGTCTTGTCTTGGATGTTTGGATCAGCACCATTTTCAAGAAGATACCTTGTAGTAAAAGTAAAGTAAGGTAAAGTAAAGTAAAGGGTACATTTATTTTATCAATTATCTAGAAGATATTAATGCTCAACAAAAATATATAAAACTTACCGAACCATCTTGTGCTGGGGTACACTCTGTGAATCTGTATAGCATGTCTTGCAGGCTACCATAAGTGGTGTCTCACCATGCTCATTACTCTCATTAATGTAGGCTCCTCCTTCCAGGAGCAGCCGAGTCAGACGTAGCCGGCATAAATATACAGCCTTCAACAGGGAATTGCCATCTGTTCGAACCTCTGTTGACTCATCCATTGTGAGGACCTTTGATGAAACACTGTCACTTCATTGTCTGAAGGTGCACCCAAAACATCCCTGCAACAATGTAAGAAGTTTTTAGGTCTCCATCAAGTGGGCAGCTGTTGGAAGCTTTACACTGTGGGTCCCAAACCATATCTGAGCATCACATTACCTATAGAAACCATTTGTTTGATATAGTGTTTTCTTGTTTGACAGTGCATTCAGATATTCGAAACCAGTCACTCTTTCACTATTTTATATTGCAGCCTTACACTAAAGTTGGCTTTAGTGTGAGGCAAAATTAAGCATTTGCTTAATTTTGGGAAAATTAATTCTCCCTCTCTTACACACACGTTGGGTATTCATATCTTGTGGGGACATCTAATTGACATAATGCTTTCTGTAGCCACTTACCCTACCCTTAACCATGAAAAATGAATGCCTAACCCTTACCCTATACCTAACCATAACCCAATTGTAACCCTGTCACTAAAACCACATTTTGAGTCTCAAAAACGCCTTCAAACTTGTGTGGACCAGGATTTTGGGCGCCATAAGGCCTGTTGGGCCCCACAAGTATAGTAAACTTCCAATTTTTGGGCCCCAAAAAGATATGAATACAGACAGACATAGTATTTATCTTCATAAAAACTATGTTTTTTGGAAGAAACAGGTAGTGCTCAACTTTTCACTCTTACCACAGTGCAAATTGGAGTGCAACAACTTTTTCCATGTATGTTAAAACACTTGTTATGTTAAGCTGCCAGAAGTGCACCTCATCTTTAAACCATGCTGAGGTAGGCTTTAGCCCACTCATGACCCTGAACAGAGAAGGTGCATTGAAACATTGATGGGTGTCTCCATAGCAGTATTTGATTAACAAAATAAATGGCTGTAGAAGAATCACAGCACAGTACGATTGTTACCTGGGAAAGTTCATATCCCACCAAAATACTGCATTGAGTTCAAGCTGAAAGCTGTCTTGTAGATGACCTGCTCCAACAATTACTTATTCTTTCCTAAATGAACCTGTACAGCTCTACATTGTTGTACATTTCATAGAGTTAGAACACTGAATGCCTGTCAGAGATTTATTTTACTGTCTGTGTTTCTTTCTATGGTCTTTCCACCATCTCAGCTCCTGACAGCTTCCTGCCATCCCACCCGGGTTTTTTGTTTTTGCTCTCCCTTATTAACAATGTGGTTTTGCTAAGAATGAAAAACTTTCAGTTTCTGGTAAAAGTGAAAGAAAACTGGAAAAGTCACAGTTACACATGAATTAACATTGCTCTTCTTTCCAGTATTTTATAACTGTGCAGCATTTGCAGAGCAGCAGCAGTTCACACAGAAACAACCTGTTGTCTTTGCACCTCTGTAACAAGCTATTGTTGTCTTGATTTTGACACTGAGACTTAGTATTCTATCCAATAATACTCTGCACATACATCTCCTGATAGATTTCAACATTGTGACAATGAGGAGACATCCTGTCACTCAAAACACAAAGTTAATAACAAATAGAGTCACAGACTTTTTTCTAAAGAAAAATACACAACTCGCCCTCACCACCAAGTGACCGTGTAAGCTTCCAGCTCTGCTTCCATCCACAAAAGAGAGCTAAAAGTATAAAAGTATACGACATACAGTGTACAGTCAATGGAAACTACATTATATAAAAATATTTCTAGCACTTTTAAAGTATCAAGAGTTAAAATACTTGCAATTAGAATGGGCCTTATATATTTTGGTGGTTTCAATTTAATTATTGCTTTCTTTAAAATCGTAATCCTAAAGGTTAAACTTTAAAGTTAATGCAGTATTTACTGAGTACTCTGTACTTCAAGTCCATTTCTTTTCCTGATATGACATAGTTTACAGTTTTAGTATCTTGTGCTTATATGTTATGATGTCAACTTTTTACAGGTTGTTTGTATTTTATGTATTGCTTTAAAGACAACTTTTTTTCACTAAACATTATGAAAATATTTGGGAGTATAGAGGTTTGGTCATGTAATAATGAAATCATCTGTATTTAGGCTGGTTCCCTGGTCTCCTGGGAAAATTAAGCTTTAATAAGGGAGAGCAAAAACAAAAAACCCGGGTGGGATGGCAGGAAGCTGTCAGGAGCTGAGATGGTGGAAAGACCATAGAAAGAAACACAAACAGTAAAATAAATCTCTGACAGGCATTCAGTGTTCTAACTCTATGAAATGTACAACAATGTAGAGCTGTACAGGTTCATTTAGGAAAGAATAAGTAATTGTTGGAGCAGGTCATCTATTAATCAGAAGGTTGGAGGCTTGGTCCTGGGCTGCTCCAGTCTACATGCCAAATATCCTTGGGCATGATACTAACGCCAAGTTGCACTCTGATGGATCAATTGGAGCGTGAATGTTAGATAGAAAGCGCTTCCCTGGAAAACGCATAGAAAACAATGCCTGTATGAATGGGTGTGAATCTTTGAATGTTGTATAGAACAGTTTGAGTGCTCAAGGAGAATAATTTTTTTTTTACCAAAATGTTTTTATAAAGAGCAGCAGGTTTTAAACTTTAGCAGCCTTTTCTGCAGGGTGACATTCAAACCCCGATCCGAGGGGGTCAGGCCTGGTCTTCCACCACCACAGACAGAATATCTAATGATAACAGCAGCAGCAGAGAAAATGTCATTCCTCAACACAACACTTCACACAGAAAGGCCAAATAGATACTGAAACATTAGTATAGAAATGGTTTTGTCCAGGACTTACATGTCTCAAAAATATTTTAATAGCTACTTGCACATGTAGCCAAAGAGGAATTCTGTTTAGTTACACACTGACGCAGAAGTGCTTTTGAAAACAGGAGTCAATAGAAATGAAAAGAAATAACAGAAAAAAATGGCTACAAGGACAAACAATCCATTTCATCTCCTGCCAGCCTGCAACATTCTTAATGTTCTGCAATGGTCTGAATTTATTGCCTCTCAGAACAAACTGACAGCTCCTGTTATGCACAGAGTAGAATTTATCACAATTTTAGTGCAGCATCAAGGGTGCTCTGGCATCCTTAAATAGGATTTAACACTAACAATAGAATTTTACTAAGTCTTATCTTACCAAATTGGGCAAATAAAGGAGACATGTAAAGTAGAAATGACTATTTGTTCCCAGCGTGTTAGTGTGTGTAAAACTTACCTGAATGAGTTTCGTTCTCTATTGTGAGAGATGTTCAAACTGCAGTTTAAAGCCAAATGTCAGACTGCAGGCTGAGAGGTAGGTACGGAGACCAGACATTCACACAGGAGTGACTGATGGAAGGAGGGAGTGAAGACTGATATGCGTCAGCTGACAGCAAAAGGCTGGCCAATGACCATGCAGCAGCAAGCATACAACCAGTGATGGCACATCCTTTTGTGAGCATCCACAGTGCAGACAGTGTTGTTTGATAAAACATTTGCGCAGGAAAGACTCGTTTCTTTTAAGCTTCAGGTATTCAGACTGTTGTGTGAAATGACAGTGTGGCCAACGTCACCAGAAAGTTCAAGGCTGCAGACATTTATTTTGGTGAAGATTGCACAGAACAGAAACTTCACAGAACTACTGCCATATTCAGTAGTCAATAACAGAAAAGCACTGAGAAGCTTCGTCACTTTTAGAGAGCAAATAGCCACAGATATCCTTCACCAGCGTGTCCTGCTATGTTAATCCATATTGATTCATCCGTTTCCTCTTTGCTGTACTTTAATAGAGAAGTACCATGGAAGCAGATGTGTGGCGAACAGAGGGAGGACCCACAATGCAGGACTGAACTCAGAAATCACAGATTTATTCCTGCACTGTAAGACCGAATAGTAATAGTTTGATAAATGAAATGAGTTGCAACTACTTAAAAACCCGTTATAAGTTCATACACCCTTATTTCTTTGAGTAGTTTGAACAAGTTTGTTTTTTCAAGTTATCAGTACTTGAATATGTTGATTAGTTTCAGACATTGCCCTTGAATAATTTGAGTCGACATTGACATCACATACGTGCCTACGTACGTACGTACGTGTGCCACCTGTTCTTCATGAGGAGCTGGGAACCATCTTGGAATCGTCGCTTCGAGTCCGAATGCCCGCTCATTACTCCGAAAGAAAGCTGTGGAACGTTAATTTCCGAACAGAAATAAAATCACTTGGGAAGGTTTTTTGCTGCATTGTCTTTGACGCTGGATAAAGGAGGACGTGCTGTGGTATGTTACAGACCTTTGAACTGGAACAGCTAACGCTCTGCACTTGGCTAGCTGCATTTACCGCCTTTGCAGCAATTTTGTCTTTGTGAGCGCTTTTGTGGTAAGTTTTATTTTTTCTGAAACCTTATTTCTCCTTTGTAATACGAATTATTATCGTCATAAATGTTGAATTGTAGCAGGCATTTAAGAATTGCTTTTTTCTTTTCTTTTTTTTTTTTAAAATCCATGCCACCTAATGTAAAAATAGGGTTCCAGTGTATGGTCTTGGTGGCATTGGCCCCAAAGTGTGTTTTGCAGGAAGCTAATAAGCTCACATTTAGTATAACACATTATTAGTCCCAGCAGAGGCGAGCACTAAAGCTAAGCCCTGCTCATACATTTCTAATCTCTTACTACTGTAAAATAAGTCTTTAGCAGGCGTTTCTAGAGTGCTAAACAGATTTGTAGTTTATAAACTGCCTTGTGGATAAATTGTTGAGTCTTTGTTGCACTGCTGCGCTGCTTAGCTAACTCATTTGCCAACTGGTGGAACTTGAAAGCTATGTTTAGTATGGAAGCCCGTTTCCGCCACTAAAAAAAAAAAAAAAAAAAGATCCATAACTCGAAATTTCGAGTTATTTTCTTGAAATTTCGAGTTATTTTCTCAAAATTCGGACTTATTAACTCGAAATTTCGACTTATTAACTCGAAATTTTGAGAAAAATAACTCGAAATTTCGAGTTATTAACTCAAAATTTTGAGAAAATAACTCAAAATTTCGAGTTAGCGGTGCCAATAAGAAATCTACGTGGCTGATGTCATTT